TCTACCCCTTTTTTCTGATTTGTTTCTACCTCTGTGATTGTCCTTTTTAGATCTCTAGGCACGCTGGGCTCTTAGGGTGTTTCCTAATGCAACTTCTTTGCATTTTTCCATTAACTCATATTTCTTCCTATGCCTTGATGTCAGTAAGATAGTAAAACTAGTCTGTACTAAGGTTTAATGACTTACAGGGAGAAGAATGCATAAAATATTCCTACAAGCTTGTTATTGGTAGCTAAAAGTTAGAACTGGTAACTACTGTATGAGAAATAAATATTGGATGGCATGATAGCAGATGTGTGTGTCTGTGTGTGTGTATATATATATATTTATATAATAATATATCAAGTATATGTGTGTATATATTTATAAGGTGAATGCATGTTTTTATGTATATATATCTCAGATATAAAACTGAGTATTCTATAAGAGAAAACTATGTGATTTTTGCCAACTCTGACTGTGTAAACTACAGTGTCCTATGAGGCCAGCATGGCAACTGGAAAATTGACAGGTAGAATTTGGCTAACTAACCTGAAGTATTTAGAAGAAAGAAAACTTTGGGACACTGAGTATTGAGACTCTGGTGGTAAGACTCTAACGTTAGGAACCAAAGTAGAAGTGGCAAGGGGGCCTCACTGTAACACCCTCTGGTGGGTGCTTTGATTTCTTCATCTGTTTATGTGGAGCTGTGCAGACTACTTAAAAGCAGTCAATAATTTACTGGGTTTAAAACATCATCATGGAGTTTGAAGTAATGAAAAGAGTACTATAGAATCTAATTGAATGAAGCCACGTCATCGAAATTGTGGCTAATCTTGTTATCTATTTGGCTTTATTTTAGAACGATGTGCAATGTGCAATATGTATTCTTTCCCCTTGAGAATGGTAAATCTACATCCTCTCAAGTATTATATTCGGGAAACTGATTTCTGGGTTGATGTCCCTCAAAAAAGTTAGGGTTTATATAGTATATGCTCTCACATGTGGAATTATGGCAGACCTGTAGAATTTCAAAGCTGGAAAGAGTCCAGCCCCTCATTTGGATGGACTAATTTACCTGCCTCAAATGACCCAGTCGGATTGTAAAAGAGCTGTGAGGAGAAGCTAGAGTCCGCTGATCTTCAGTCTGGTATTCTTTTCACCACACTATGTGCTTAGCATAATCTCCATGCAATACTACTAAGGCTTACTAAATCACATTTTTCCTCACTTTTTATAATACTAAATTCTAGAAGACTTAACTTGATCATAAATGTTACACAGGAGACAAATGGCTTAGTTTCAGAAGCCTTGGTCGGCAAAAAGACTTTGACTTACAGACAATTTATTGGGTGGTTATTTTATTGTTAGACTAATGCTTTATTTATTTATTTTTGTTTGAAAAACATTTGTGGAAAATTAAGATATTAAAGCCTTGGAAAATGGCTATTGGATGTGTCCAATTACTGTATTTCATAAGATTTTTAAAATGTAGAAATTTAGTAGACACATTTTGTATTGTGAATATGTATTTAGCTGATGGACTATAGCAGTTCAAATAGAATCATTTATAGCTTATTGAGTAAATAAAAGTGCTTCCATAAAGATTCACATGACACCTAGCTTTTATTTCAGGCACCTAATTTCCTTTTGAAAAACTGCCTAAATTTAGATTTACGTAAGAGGCAGAACACCTCAGTGGTTTTAAAAGTAGTTTATATGACCACAGGCTTTACAGATTTAAAATACAAGATGAGGTGGTGCACACTAACTTTTAATGTTCTCTGACAAAAAGTTATTTAACTGTCCTTTACTCTCTCTGTTACATTAAAATAGTACAAAAGTATTATGTATTTCTGGATATTATTCTGGATATTTATGACAAGAAAAACAGTTCATATTTACTTGTTATTTTAACGTCACAGTCTCAAATCAATGTTTCACCAGAATTGTTACTAGCTTTTTTGTTGTTGTTGTTGTTTGAGACAGAGTCTCGCTCTGTTGCCCAGGCTGGAGTGCAGTGTGCAGTGGCACGATCTTGGCTCACTGCAACCTCCGCCTCCGGGTTCAAGTGATTCCCCTGCCTCAGCCTCCCAAATAGCTGGGATTACAGGCGCATGCCCAGCTAATTTTTGTATTTTTAGCAGAGGCGAGGTTTCAGCATGTTGGCCAGGCTGGTCTCCAACTCCTGACCTCAGGTGATCCACCTGCCTCAGCCTCCCAAAGTGCTGGGATTACAGGCATGAGCCACCGCCTCCAGCTGGTGGCTTTTTTTTAAGCTCTTAAGTGACTTAAAATCAGACTTTACCTCATTTCATGAAAAAAGTTTTTTCCTAGCAGCACAGCAGATGATCCCAGTAGCAAAAGCAGTCATTTGTTTTCCTTTATATAAAAGTAACTCTGTTTACTTTCTAGAGACTATACTTTTGGGGAATACAAGACTTAAAGGATATCTCTGTCTCTCTGTCTCTTTTTTTTCATCTCTGGAGATTTTTAGATTATTTTCCATGTTTAGGACATAAGGTCAGAAAATGGTGTGCAAAAAGTGAGACTAATTTGAAATACTAGGGAAATAACACCCCATTTCAAGGTTATTTAGTCAAAAATGTTATATTAGATGAAAGGGTGCTTTCAGACAATGTAGTGGAAAGTAGACATATTAGAAAAAGTAGGATGAGAAAAGGCAAAAGAGGGACCTCTTTGTAGGGTACCAAGATCTGTAGAATATTAAAGAGAAATGAGCAGTTAGTAGAGACTTTCCCTAAACACTGCCTTCCTAGCTTTGTAATGTGTTAGGTTGATGGATTCACAAGAACAAAAAGGTAAACTTTAAGTACAGCATATAGGTTTGAGTAAATTATGCATATCACTAATATTGACAAAACAGGAATGGTTGGTCAATTTGGCATAGTCACCTTTATCTAAACATCAAGAAGAAAATACCCCCAGCAGATATCTGACCTTCCTTAGGCTGATTCTGCACACCCCTCTATTTTCCATACATAGTTTTCTTAGACCAGAACTTGAAGTACAAAAATGTATCAAAACAAACTTTTGAAGTCTTTTCTGACAATATCTATTATAATAGAGAATACTATGGCTATAACTATGTTTATTAAGAAGAAAATCAGGCCCCACCATTTCCTGCTCTTCCAGCATTCCCCTAACCCCCAGGCCTGGCAGAATGAGAACTTAGTAGATGGCACTGTAATGGTTATAGCTGCAAAGTCAATCCAGTAATGACACTGCTAAAAAATGATTGTAGCAGCAGTAAAAATGCAGCTGTGTGCACCTCTAGCCTCTGATGTAATGAGATGCCTCTGTTCAGGTTCTGAACTGAGATGATCAGGCCCAGCATTGGTTCTGCAAGCAAAACCTCATTAATACTACGAATCAGGGTCAACACATGATTTTGGAAGTTGTTTTCCTTCCATTGGGAAACTTTGTCCTTCGTAGAGCTATTTCAAGTGACCATTTTAGGTGTTTCCTAACTTCCAGTTTTAAAAGACATGATTTCCGTCAGCTATAGGCCTGCAGTAGAGTATCAAGAAATCAAAAGAACAAAGATCAAAGAAAATTGCTGACCTAGGTGTTAGATGCAGATATTGATTTTTTCTCCAGTTGTAGTTTTAAAAAAATCCACAAAAATGGTAACACATACAACAGTTGAATTTCTAATACTTTCCTAAAGCCAGTGATAGCTTCCCTCTTGTTTTTACATGTAGAAACAGTTTTGTATAACATGAGATAATAAAGTAGACCTTATAGTTTACATTATTTTGTTATCAAAACTGTAAGGGGATCTACTAGAAAGTTTAAAAAAACCCTGCAATATAAGTATGATTTTTAGTGGAGATACTTATAACCAGACTTGTTATTTCAGCAGCATTTATTTTGTGGGAATCTGGAAAATTATGTCATACAGTTGATCACTATTTTCCTGCCATCTTTAAATGTCATAAAATAATGCTTACCTGCGTTACTGCTAAGACTTCTTCATGTTAAATATTAACTACCAGATACTGATATCACTTAAGGCTTAAATGAGTAGCTTTATCAAAATGTTAATTCTGTTGTCCAGTATTTCATGACTGTGTGGCATTTTTAAGTTTAATTTCCAACAGTTTCTGGATACCATCAGTGTTCTCAAATATATGACAAATTATTCATTCCCTTATTTTGACACATGATTTCTAAATACTTATAATAGTCTTTATCAAAACAGGGTGGTATCATGGACATAAAGATGGAAACAATAGACACTGAGCACCAGGGACTACAAGAGTGGGAGAGGGTTCAAGAACTACCTCTCAGGGACTGTGCTCACCACCTGGCTGATGGGATCATTTGTACACCATACCTCAGTGACTTAAATCAGTAATTACCCATGTAACATATCTGCACATGTACCCCAGAACCTGAAGTAATAAAGTTGAAAGAAAAAACAGGGTGGTGGCATTATTATTAAAGTAAACCCAAAGAGTTCTCATTAGAATTTTGTATCTTAATATGCCATTTTCTAGAGGTCACTGGGATTGGCTTATTTTTCTTTGTGCTACTTTTGTCAAGTAAGTAAAACAGATAGGTTTAAAAAACATAAATACTCATAGTTTATTTTCTAAGCCATCTAATCTTCCATATTATATGGCACTTATTATATAGCATAATGAAATAAATGCTATTAGCATCGGTTTCTGTAAATTGCCAATGAAGTCAAGGTAAAAATCCCTGATTGTATTGACTCTTTGACATGATAACTTGATAAAGAGTTTTACACAAAGATTTAGTGTTTAGATAAATTCCTGTTGTCTAGAAAAGTCATAAAAGAGCAAATAAGGGATTCAGTCACACTTGGAAAATAATTTACTATCTATATATTCTCATATAGATTATTGAAATAGTAATTTCCATCTCATTTTGTATTTTAATGATTATTAGTCTACTTGCCTGTTTATGGTTTTAGGCTCTGTTTGAGAGTTTTCAACTCTATGCTTATTATTTTTTTCTTTTGTATGTCACAGATAGGATCACGAGACCATTCAAATCTCTCCATTCCTTCAAGAGCTCCTCTTCCTGCTGACACAACTGGTATTGGGGATTTCTTACCATTGAAAGCTGAACTTGATACAACTTACACTTTCTTAAAGGAGACATTTATAAATACTGTTCCCCATGCTCTGACATCATCTCACTCCTCTCCAGTGACTATGTCTGCTAATGCCAACAGACCAACTCAGATTGGATTATGACTTCATGAAATTTAAAAATGGAGGAAGAGTTAACAGTACAATTAAAATTGTTTTGAATGGGAATTTTCTTATCAGTTGACTTTTGTTTCAGCAGAAGTGGCAGTGGATTTAAAAAATCTGTGCGATATCTTGATGTATTCTGGTAGCTCTGTCTCCTTGAATAAGGAAATAGCCAACTTTTTTCTCTCCAAGTTTTATTTATTATCACAGTTGCTCATTTTTATGTAACATATTTTTAAATGTTAAGGAATGACACATTTTGGGTAATTTCCCTCAGACTTAAAAAAATCAATAAGCCATTTTAGTCTCTATCTATCAAAGTTGTTTCATACTTGTCTATTTTAAAGCAGGACTGCAATGCTTTAATAGGATTGAGAGAGCTATTTGAAATGTATGCCAATGATTCCTGTCATTTCATGGCAGCCCGGCCATGGTTCACTGAGCCCCCTCTTCTCTCTTGTCAGCTCAACTGAAGACAAGCATTTAGTTGCAAACTTTAAGCAGGTTGTGCAAAACAGAAATGATGTGACTGCTTCTCCTCCTGCACAATAATGTCACTCCTGGTCAATGTGAGAAGGTCAGGTTGCTCCTTGTAAAGCTACATGATACCACTTGCCCATTTGAACAAGTTAAGTTAACTGCTGAATCTGGTCCCTGAAGGCATTGAAAACTCATTCTTTTAGCAAGTCTGCATTTGATAAGAAAGTAGAGCAATTGTGCTGGAGGATTTCTGTGGTATGTTTAGGCACTTCATAAGGACAGTTCCCACACCAGGATAGCAGGTAATACATTTAGTATAAGCGAAAAACTTCAAGGTAATGGCTGTTTTGACCTTCAAAATAGGCTCCTTTTTTGTTTTTGTTGTTGGTAGGACCCAAGAGTGACGCCCATCTTTGATGCTGACAGAATTTAAAACAAGGCCATTGCCCTGCATTTTCTGCCTTGTAGCACACAAAAGTAAAATTGTATGTCAGGCCGAGATGTCGGGGAGCTGACAAGATGCCCCAGTGACATTTCAGCTAGAAAGAGCAAGTGTCTTGCAACCAAGTGGTCAAATATCAAATAATAGGTCAAGCAGGAAGGAGCTGAGTTCTAACCACAAAGAGGTTTCTGGTAACTTACTTGACAAGCTTTTGGGTGCTTTGTGGCTTGACAAAGTGATATTCTGTTGGGTATCGCTAGACAGACTGTTCTTTATCGCCTTCAGAAGATCAGACATTGACATTGATTAAACTCTTTAACCCTTAAAGGTTAAACCCTTGCAGTTTGCATCATGGTAAGTGAAGAACAAAAGAATATTTGTAGTAAGAATTTGTTTTTGTATTAATCATTTAACTCCCTAGTGCTATTAACTTCTGATATGAACTGTAGCTTTTGACAAAGAGTTTTGATACAGAATCTATTTTTTATATTATTTTTCATTATGGAATCTTTCATTATAGATACATTAGAATACAACAGTATGTATTACGGAAGTTTTTTTGTCTTATCTTTACAGTGACATTTGATTCAAATATACCCAACTGCTGAGAATTTTTTTATTGGCCTTGGTAAATAAGATTTTATACTAACTATTTGTTAGTAGCCAAATTAGCCAAGTGATTTATGCCATCTGAGGGAACACAGCAGTATTAGTGTCGTACTATGTAACACATCCTATTCTTGTAATACTGAACCACTATAATTAGCTTTATATAAAACTTTAGAAAGATTATGTGGAGTAAAATTATATCTTTAACCAAATTTCTCTTAATTCTTTCCTCGGAATTATTTTTAATATGACCTGTGTAACATGACCTGTATGAAATTCAACTTGCAAATTTACTATAACATGGAAAGTGCTATTTATTGTTTTTATACAGATCATATAATTTCTGCACTTTTCAGAACACCTTTCTCTGCTGTTCCACACAATGATTAGGATATTGTTCATTTAGAAATTGATAGACAATTTTTTAGTTCATGTGATATCATTGAGCGTACAATTCCCACTAGAGAAAAACAATGTTAGTATATGTAACCTCTATGTCTAAGTGTGTGTGTGTATGTTTGTGTTGAATCTGTTTTCAGATCCTACTGATTTTAGAGGAACAACACTTTTGTAAAATGTGCCTTGGAAAGGCCTTGGTCTTCTTGCCTTAAATTTATAATCTGTTAATGGGATAACTCCAAAAATAAATGTGTATGTGTCTTCATATATATGGGTATCTGACTTTACAGGTACATTTTGTACCGTGAATTCTGAACCATAAATTCAAAATTCATAAATTATGATTAAATCAAATCAAAGCATGTCACATTTATAAGCAACTAGATGCTAAAGGCCATAGAAACTGAAGGATGAACCTCCTGAGCGATCATTAGTATTCACTACCAAATATAGTAATATTTATACCGTATGCTTTTTTCCCAGAAGTCAGACCCAGCAGGAGGAGAAGATTTAATGACATATCCTATGGAGATCTGAGAAACTCTAGACTGCTTCTAAGCACCTTAGTGACCAATTGCTGCATATTTGAGATCTCTGTTGTGTTGGCAAGGACAGTTGCTCTATCAGCTTCTTTATCTTTTAAAGAATGATGTATAGAGTAGACATATCTCAGGAGAATGACTTCAAATATTTTTGTAGAGGAAAGGAAATTTTACCTTATACTTCAGAATGTGGATTTTCTTACTGACCTTCTGTGATCTAGAAAAACACCTATAATACCCATCACTATTAATTCTTAAAGTTCTTGTTCTGATACCTGAGTCACACTTACATTTTGAGGAGTTGCCAACATTTTTAATACGTGTATTTTGTAATGACATAATATAAAAACAAAGAGGTTTAGGATTGCAAAAATTGCCAGTTTAGTGATACTTTAATGACATAAATAAATAACCTTTTAAATAGAATGATCACTTTAATTTACCAAATATCTGACTCTTATTAAACTTAGCAACTCTATTTCCTATTTCACATTTATGATATATGCTATTATTGAATGTTTAATGAGATTATTACTAGTTTCATGTTACTTTATTTACCAGTTGTCTAAATTCATTCTGTAGACCACACCGAACAATAGTAGGTTGATCCTACCCCACTGTGCACTTATTCCTTTTTTAAGAGATGGGCTCTCGCAGTGTTGCCCAGGCCGATCTTGAACTCCTGGGCTCAAGTGATCCTCCCACCTCAGCCTCCTGAGTACTAGGGACTGCAGATGCGTACCACTGTGCCCTCACTGTGCACTTTTTACAGAAAAGTTTTCTAATATAAAAGGTGGAAGATAATTAATATTTACCGAGCAACTGCTTTATGCCAGTTATTATAGCAAAACTAATGATCTCACAACAAACCTCTAGCATGGGTATTTGCATCACCATTTTAGACATGAATAACTGAGGATCAAAAATGTTAAGCATCTGGCTACCAAAGATCATACATAACCCAGGAATTAGTAAGCCTAGAGCTGCAATTCCAAAGCCCACATTATTTTGAAACACTGCCAGTCCAGCCTTCCAGAAATAATTAACTCTTTTTAAAGAGAAAAAAAAAATTTTTTTTAATTGTCCTGACCAGTTAGGAATAATTTTGGTAAGTATGTTTTCATTTGAAATCTAGATTTCTTATGAATTGATTAGACAAAACAAAATACATCCATACTAGCACTATGTATGTAAATAGTAACTGTGAAGTTTGTGTCTGTCTATCAAAGGAAACACCATGCTGACTGTGTTGCCCATTGTCTCTAGCTTGGCCCACAAGATCACACAGATACTCTCAGAAGCAGAGTCTCTGCTGAGAGGTACTGATGGTAAGTCAGCCTGGCCATGCTATTACTTCCCAATGGAAAATAATGCCATATGCCAAATAAAGCTGATCAATAAAGCATTCACTTGTGTAACTCCTAGGATAAAGATTTAAAAATATATTTTCTGGACTAGCATAGTAGGCTGAATAATGGCCCTACAAGATGTCCATATACTAATCACTGGAACCTGTGAATGTTACCGTCTATGGCAAAGGGATTTTCCAGGTGTGGTTAAGTTAAGGATCTTGAGATGGGGAGATTATCCTGGATTAGCTGGGTGTGCTCTAAATGCAACAGGAGGTATCTTTGTAAGAGAGGGAGGTGCAGGGGTTGGTTGATATGATGATGGAAGCTGAGGTTGAAGTGATGTGCTCTGAAGATGGATGCAGAGTCCAGACCTAAGGCTTTCAGAGGGTACTAGAAGCAGAAAGAGGCAAGGAAATGGATTCTCCTCTCAGAGCCTCCAGGATTGTAAGAAAGTACATTTGTGCTGCTTTAAGCCACAAGTTTGTGGTAATTTGTGGCAATATGTCATAGTCACCAAAGGAAACTAATACACCAGTAAACTTTTAGTAATTTTTTGAAAAGATTAATACATTAATCTTTTAATATTAGCAAACAGAGAAACTGTTCTTTCTTTTAAATTATCCATAATAGTTGCCTTCATAACTTGAATTTTCAAATTCTTTTCGATTTCCATTTTATATTCATGGCTTCTGAATATAATAAACAGTGATTATATGGGCCAGCATAGAGTCACACTCTATTGCCATCATTTTTGATAATTCTTCAATTAACCTGTGATTTCAATATATATTTTAATTCTTACAGTTTTAAAAAGATGCCTTAAATGTATTAAACTTTTCTTAAAGATCTACTTTAAATGATTGTTTTTATTTGATTCCATTTTAGTTGGCATATTTTAGTAGCTTTCTTACAAAAGAAATTGAACCTTGAATGAATTTGTATTAATCACAGCTTAAAATAACAATAGGGAATTTATGAATTATATATTTAAATGTGCCAGAGCATTTTCTTTTACTGTTTACTCATGAGTGCAATATGCTGCTGGTCATTTCTCCCTGCCTTTTGTAATAATTGAAGCGAGAGAATTTTAATAATTTTATTCAACAAGGAAATCTTCTAAAATTTTTACAATATAATATTTGAATCCCTTTTGTCTTTACTTTGGTGAAATCATATAGTTTTTCCTGATGGTTTAGTTTAATGGGAGGAAGGAGGCAATTTTAATTGAAATGACTAAGTGTTAAATGTGATCAAACCTAAAATATTGAAGATTTAAACCTAGAGTGTTAAATAGTTCAAGTACAGCCAAGCAAAGAAAAGAAAAATAAAGCCTCTGGTTCTGTAAGGAACCCCT